AATGTTTACTGACGATCTTGTATAATGAAGTCATTGGCTATGTACATTATATACTCTTTTGTTTGCTGGAGCGAAAACTGCAACACAATGATGCACGATCTCCTTCGTAAAACTGTCAACATTAATGACAAATCATTCCGCGGAAAGCTTAACACATGAGGGACAATAATATGTCCAGTGTATTAGTACACAAGTGCCAGGGTGTGAACACTACCGGCAGCAGTATTAACACTTCCACCCACCACACCCTCACTTAAGAGCGTCGTGGAGAGATTGATGAAAACAAAGAGTAACTGGGTGTCTTACCTTGAGGTGACCAGGTGCTCGCTGCTTCCTTTCGAAGGGAAGCGAGGCCGGGGATGGAGACAGTGCGTTTAGGAGTGGTTATGGGAGGTGGGCGGTAGCCAGGGGCGTGGTAGCGGGCAGAACGAGGCCCTGTCACAGACGACCCTGCCACTCTGTCCAAAGTGGAGCCAGGGGAGAAAGGCACGTGTGTGGAGGAGGTGACGGACGGAGTGGTCTTGTTGAGGAGGGCGAACTGAGATCTTGGTAAGGAGGCCGTAGAGGCCACCTGAGTAGGGTTGGATCGAGGTAGAGTTGTGGAGCGAACTTCAGGTGACATGCGGTCCTTGCTGGTGTCCGGCATAGACGACCGTCTCGCATACCGGAAGAAGTTCAACTTTTTAGGTTTCTTTTCCTCCTCCTCCTCAGGACCGGAAGAGCCCTGGAGGGAGCCTCGGGAACCGGCGTTTAAGGAGCCTCGACTAGACGCCGCAAGGCTGCCCCGGCTGCTGGTCGTGAGAGACCCGCGGCTGGAAGCATTCAGACGGATGTTTGAGGAACTACTCCCAATATGTCGGTCCAATGAGTCTGATGCCTTTAATGTGGAGTCTGAATCCAACTGCTCATAGCTGCTGGAAAATTCTGAAGAACGCACGCGGTCCAGTAGATCACCAAGGGACTCAGACCTCTCGCCTGTTGTTGTTTTAACCTCTTCTTGGTGTATCTTCTCCAGACTCATGTGACTCTTGGCTTTCCGGGCCTCCTGTCGTCTAGCACTACGGCGCGCCCGCGGCACTCCGTGAAGCTCACGAGCGTCGAATTTGTCTTCGTCAATTGTTACACTTTGCCAGACCTCCACCTCATTGTTGGTGCCTTCTGTAACGAAGTACTGGATGTTGGTAACTCCGCGTTCCTCGAGGCTGCGCTCACACACAGTATTCTGGTGAGGACGTGCAGCATCAAGGCGGATCTGGTGCCGTGGGGAGTCATGTGAGGCAAACACAGTACGCTGACTCTCCAGTGACGTGAAATCTTCAGCCGAGGATCTCTCACTGATGATAGAGAGCGGCCCGTGCCGCTTTTTGGCCTTCGGAGTGCCTGGGTCAGATTCAGGGGACTGCTCAGTGTCGGTGGGACTATCCTCTGACTCAAAACTTGTACTGGTTAAGGAGCTTTTGTCAACTGAGGAATCGATGGATATAGAGTCAGCAGATTTATGCTTTCTGTGAATGAAGAGTGGCACTTTGGGGCTGGAAGTAACAGGGTGGCCGCCACTGAGGGAGTCGTCATCGCCGTTCTCGCTACCGCCGGACACCTCGTGCATGAGGGCCACCAGGCGGTTACCGATGTGATGCATCACCTTGGCTAGCAGAGGTGGAGAGGCTCCCTGGGACCCAGATCCAATGCTGCCCCTGTCGCTGTCTGGCTTCAGACGGGATATGGAAGACATAAGTCGCTGGTACACAAAAACTGTGTCCTTGCTAGACGGGGATGCATCTTCGGAGCTCTCAGAACACGCTCGTCCACCGAAGAGCGAGTGAGCGCTGTCAGTGTCACTAGGTTCACGACTTTGATCGAATTTTTGAATTATTTGTTGACAAGAAGCAGATATCTGTTCTTGTAAGTCACTCCTCATCTCTGGATCGGCTTGATCTAGGAGAGCATAGGCGCCTTCCAGGTCGCTGCTGGTGTAGTCGGAGGAGTCGTATGAGTCACTCCAAGTGTCCTCAGAGCTGAGGTACTCTACAATTTCCTTCACCTGTTCGTCATTGATGCCAGGTACAGTCTTCATCAGGTTAGTCAGTTTAGCCTCAAATGCCAGCAGCTGAGGAGGCTTAACTCGCTGCCCCTTGGGAGCCTCGCGAGAATTTGAGATCATGGTCTTGAAGAAGGCTCGCATCTTGTTCATCATCATATTGGTTTCCTCGTCCGAGCTCCAATTGTTGAAAGAATCTTTGCGACATATCTTGTTCCTGGCCTTATCTGGAGAGAAGGGTGGAAGGTCAACAGAGGAGCCAGTGCTCGACCTCGACACCTTGCCATCCCCACTGCTTCGTTCTTCAGTCTCAGATTTGTTGTTGTTGCTGTCGTTGTCAAAACTGTCACTCTTGCTCTCTTTGCTCTTGTGTGATACATCTTGTGATGGGTCGTTCCTCTTGCATGAACTCTCGCCATCCTCCACGCTAGATTCAGAGGACAAACGATTTTTGTGCTCCTTGGAAGTGTCCTCAGGTTTGTCCTTCAGCAGATCGTCAGAGCTTCCAATGAAACCACTATCTCGGCTTTGATATTTCCTGTCAGAGAGGTCACCCTCCTTTTCCATTTTATCGTCACTCTTCTCCCTGATTTCTTTATCACAATCAATTGTCACACGTTTTGTAACTTTTTCTCCTTCGTGCACCAGTGATTTCAGCGCTTCTGAGTTTTTTAACTCGAAAATTTCTTCTCGGTGTTCAATTTCGTGCTGCTCTAAAGCTCTAAGTTCACTTTTGTCACTATCAGATTTTTTATCAGAATAATCTCCTGAGCCCTTTTTCTTTTTCCTCCGTTTTATGGTATCGAACTGTCCATCGCCCTTGTCAAATGCTGTCTCTTCTGACTCAGTGGATCCCTCGTCTTCTCCACTCACAAGAGTCCTGTCCACCTCGTCACCCTCTGAGTGATGCGACCCATCACTTGGGGTACCATCCCAACGATCACCCGTTACTAAAGACCTATTCACGACGCCTGGACGAAAACCCCGAGGCCGCCTCACTAGTTTCTTCCTAGGTTGTTCTGGACTGGGCGACCCTTCTGAGTCACTGCCGACTGAGCCACTCTCGTCAGTGTGGAGTTCAGAGTCCTCCCCCACGGACCTGATTGAGGGCTGGCGCTCAAAACCCAGGAATCCTGTCAGAAAGTATTTCTCCAGTCTGGAAGATGCCAACTCGGCAGGATCGATGTCTTCTTCATATTTAGAGTCAATATCTAATCCTTCACTGAAGATTGAACTTGAGGTCTCAGAGAAAGTGTCACTGTACTCACTCTCTTCATTAGCATACCTCTTAGGATCTGCAGGGCCATTTCCCAGGCCAAAGTAAAAATACTTCTCCAGCTCTGAGGGATCTGCCTTGGCCTCTTCTTCTTCCTTCGACTTCCTCTCGTAGTCACTCTCCTCACAGCTCTCCTCAATGATGGTATGGAGAGTGAAGTCAATAGCTCGATTACAGTATCCCCGAAGTTCGACTTCTCGGTCACAGTTTTCATCACCAGAAGATTCGCTATAGTTCGACTCACTGTTAATAGATTCCCCATCCTCGATGGAATCAAATCGTTCTTCAACTTCCTGCTGAACGAACATGTCATCACCATCAAACTCGTCCCCTTCTGTGAATTCCTGATTCACCTCATCAAAGGAGACGTCTTCCTCAAACTCATCAGGGAAGATGACAGTTCTCTCCCCATCGCCCCATGAGTCAAACTCTTGTGAATTATTGTATCCGTCCTCGATATCGATGCCGCGATGCTCCTCATAGGCCAATAGGTCACCCTCGGAGTGGTCGGGAGTCTGCGATGGGCTGGCAACACCGGTGGGGACCGGAGATTCAACACTCTCAGGGCGGTCAATCTTACGACGTCGAATTTCTGGGGTTTTGTTGAGTCTTCGAGGAGCGTGAGGTGAGTCGGTGCCTAATGTGAGAGTGAAGTAGTTGGCCAAACTCGACGTTGACTCCTTCATCTCAGTCGGAGATCGTCGGAACTGTTGCTGACGCTCGCGAGTTGTCAGAATCATAGACTGCAGCTCACTCACCTGACTTCTCCTGGCAGGTGAGGCGCTGCGCGAAGAGTCTGGACTCGTGACGTGTACCGACATGACGTGACCACGTCGCCCGTCACTTGTCACTTCTAGTATTGTCACGTCGTTACCTTCATTCCTGATGTTACGCTCGACATTGATCCCGTCTGTATCACCATCTGCGTCCTCCCCAGATTCTGCTCCTGACGACCCCGTCACAACAATGCACGTTGGCTTGATCTGTACATCCGAGTCTGTGGAGTCAGACCTGATGTATATCCTGCCTTGTGATGACAGGCGTGTGCTGTGGTCGTCGTCATCACCGACAGACACGATGGACACCAGGTTTCCTTCCTCACTGTTGTCGGAGCATTGTGACTCGCTATCGGCACCATGAAGGACCGAATCCGCCGAGGAGGGGCCGTCCGAGTCACGACTCTTGTCGTCGTGGTCGTGGCGACGTTGCTGGAGTGCGAACCAGCGCAGCTCAGCGTGCAGCTTGCCTCCTTCTATCACAGTATCTGCAGAGTCGCTGGCATCGGCGTCAGAACGTTCAATATCGGAGGAAGAGGAGACGCCATCAGAGGAGGAGGAGCGCTTAGTGTGCCTGGATGGCACTGGAGGGGTGTGGCGAGCCACTACCTCCGGGGAACGAACACGCCGAACTGCAAACCTTCTCACTTGCTGTGGCAGGTTCTCACTGCTGACGGGAATGCTGACACCGTCGTCCTCGAGACGACTGTTATCTTCCTCCCTCACATTGATCTTAACTATATTACTGGGGTCGTCCCCCTCCACCTCACTTTCACCAGCACTAGAGTGACCAGATTCACTCGACTCACTAACATCCTTCACTTTCGTAGTATCACACTGTAATATATCCAAGTTGGGAGAGAGGTGGTTCTCTCCTGACAGTACCGTGTCCGCGGGTGCACTGCTGACTTCGGTGCCAGTGTGGGGAGCCAATGCTGACACGTGGTGGCCCGCAGGCGCGTCGTGTATTACTGATGTGAGGCCGCCACTGGGAGTAACAGCGGTGCTGTGTTCCACTTGTTCACTTCCGGCGTCGACACAAGTATCAGCGTGTGCGTCGCTCTCACCAGCTGCTACCGCCTTACTTTCAGCACCATGCTCGGCCCCTTCACTTTCTTCTGACAATGGTTCTTCACTCTTAACTGCGTGCCCGGGCAGGCTGGCCTGGACAGGCAGCGGGGCGCCCTCACCTACCTGAACAACAGTATCTTCGTCAGGTATACACGTGATGTTGACTTCGTCGTCTGAGGCAGACTCCTGCGGCTGTATAGCCTTCCCTGAGGTAGCCTCCACGTCATCCAAGGACGTTTCCAGGGCCACATCATCCTGGGGTGCCACAAGGTCCTCAGTGGGGCAGGTGGGTTTCTCTTCCTCAAAGTGAACTGTAGCTGCTACCTTAGACAGTTCCTCAGTGATGTCTGCCTCTGGTGAGGCTGAGGTGTCTTGTGCTGCAGTGGCCTCTCCTAAGGCAGAAGTGACCTGGGAAAGAGAAGTTATTTCTGCTTCCTCCGTTGACTCCGAGGTGACTGCTCCAGCATCAGTCACCTCAGACGTAGTTGTGACCTCATCTGCCACCTCAGACGTAGTTGTGACCTTTTCTGCCACCTCAGACGTAGCCGTGACTTCTTCCACCTGAGTAGTTGTGACCTCTTCTACCACCTCAGAAGTAGTTGTGACTTCTGCCACTTCAGACACAACTGTGACCTCTTCTGCCACCTCAGAAATAGCTGTGACCTCTTCTGTCATCTCAGACGTAGCTGTGACCTCCTCTGGCACCTCAGACGTAGCTGTGACCTCTTCTGGCACCTCAGACGAAGCTGTGACCTCTTCTGCCACCTCAGACGTAGCTGTGACCTCTTCTGCCACCTCAGACGTAGCTGTGACCTCTTCTGTCACCTCAGACGAAGCTGTGACCTCTTCTGTCACCTCAGACGAAGCTGTGACCTCTTCTGCCATCTCAGAAGTAGCTGTGACTTCTGCTGTGGCCTCAGAGGCGAGAATAATTTCAGAGTCAACTGGGGCGTGAGTGGGCAGTAGCCTGCCCACTCCACACACCCCCTCAGTGTCACTCTCACATTGCCCACTCTCACTAACACACTCGTCACTGGCAACACTCTCCTCTCTCACCACACTGCTGATTTCATTAGTTTTCTCTGTGTGAGAAACTTGTATGACATTATCTTTCTCACTAGTACTTTCCTCACTAACTTTCTCCTCATTCTCTCTAGCACAAACTACAACACTTTCTTTCACCGTAAATGCACTTGCACCGTCCTCATACTGTGGCAGTGTGAGGGATTCACTTTCCTTGCACTGTGGCAGTGTCAGGGTTTCACTTTCCTTGCACCATGGCAGTGTCAGGGTTTCACTTTCCTCACACTGTGGCAGTGTGATGGCTTCATTTTCCTCACACTGTGGTAATGTGAGGGCTTCACTTTCCTCACACTGTGGGAGTGTGAGGGTTTCACTTTCCTTGCACTGTGGTAATGTGAGGGTTGCACTCTCATCGCCCTCACACGGTGGTTTATCGAGGGTTTCATTACCTCCACCTTCACACGGTGAAAGTGTGAGGGCTTCACCGCCCTCACACGGTGAAAGTGTGAGGGCTTCACCGCCCTCACACGGTGAAAGTGTGAGGGTTTCACCATCCTCACACAGTGAGGGTTTATCTAGGGCTTCACTACTACCGTCCTCATACACTGTGGTGAGCTCCGCGCTCACACCCACGTCGCCCACAAGCTCTTCATTGACGTACCTAACGTTAGTGACACAGTCTTCTTCCCTCGTTTCCTGACCACTGGCACTGTCCACATGGTCCACCAACTGTCCACTCCTACTGTCCAGCTGCTGATTGTCTCTACAGAATGGAGACTGGTTGTCGTTGTGTTGAGTGGCAGCATCGTCCAGGAGGAGACGACACAGTTCTTTATTTACAGTTTCCACTGTCTCTTCCTGCACTGCGCCTAGGGTGAGGGCAGCGTTCACTGCCTCTACCACCCACTCCTCGCCCTCGACCTCGCCGAGACACACAGCAGCAGACAGGACGGCAGTGTCCTCGGGGACGTCAGCGTCGGACTTCTCTTCGAAGTCAGAGTCAGTGGAGGACGATCTGGCGAGGCTGTACGTCTTACTGACGTGTTTGTCCTCGTCGGTGTCGCTGTCGTTGGAAGACGAGGAGGAAGTGTGATCATCGTCCTGGTCTTCAGTGTCCAGGACGTTGCAGACAGCGTCGTTCTCGGTCTCGCTGTCTACTCCGTCAACAGCAATGGTGTAAGTGCGAGACACGTGCACGTCCTCGTCCGTGTCCTCGGCCTCGCTGGTAGTGCTGGAGTGCGGGTGGAGGTCCTCGCCAGGCTGGTGGAGGAGAGGCTGGGGGGTGGGAGTAGAGGAGTCTTGGGAGAGTTCCTCTACCTGGATAACTCTCTCCAAGGCATCGAGATCACCCTCAGAGTCTTGATGGTGTTGCGCCCACCGCCCGGCACTGCGGCGTGGGCGTGCGACGCTCATGGTGGTGGTGGTGATGGGCGGCGGCGGCGGCGGCGGCGGCGGCGGGCGTGCGGTGCAGCTGGCGGGTGTGTGTGAGGTGTTGCTCACTGCTATACTGGGGGAGCATGATACCCCCTCCACCACCCCACCACAGCCGCCATGCTCTGTGCTGCCCTCTACACCTACCTGAGTTTCACTACCAACTCCACTGAGCTTTAACGACTTCCCTTCACTCACTACACTTTTCACTCGCTCACTTCGGTCGCCTAAGTACTGGAAATCACTCGAGGACGACCCCCGTAAATCACTATCGACGCACGAATTGTAGTCTCCAAGACTGTCCTCCGTCTCAGAGTTTGACGGGAGTGCGACTGACGTCTCTCGGCTCAGCGTGAGGTGCAAGTGGAAGGAGGGGAGGAGAGGCAGGTGGGAGGTGTTCCCTCCTCCCGCTCGCTCCCGGCCCCCACCTCCAACACCACCTCCAACACCAGAGTCACCTCCACCACTGCCGCAAGACGCCGGGTATCCTTGCGTCCTTGACTGTCTTCCCTGCGCCAGGGAAGACAGACTGGCGGCGGCGGCGGCCTGCAGCGTGTGGTGGGGACCCCGCACCGGCCGAGGAGGAGCTAGGGGACACGCCTGGGGCTCGGGACCCCGCATCGGTCTAGGAGGATCTGTGGGACACACCAGGGGCTCGGGGCACCGCACAGGCCGAGGAGGAGGTGGGGGTACTGAGCCCTGTGTTAGCCTGGGAGGAGCTGGGGGACACACCTGGGGCTGGGGACTCTGTGTTAGCCTGGGAGGAACTGGGGGACACACCTGGGGTTCAGGTGTAAGTTCCTCGTCACACCTGGAGCTACACACCCCGGGGCCAGGTTCAGTCTGTATACACATGTCTCGACTAGACTTGCGGGCACTGGCTGCCGCCGCTGGCACCTGCCTGACACTGCTGCCAGGTGCACCAGCTACGGCCTGCTTGCTTGTCTTATCTCTCCGCTGATATGATACGCTAGATAACGGTTCAAGGGTTGCCGAGCGCGGGCGATGTTGCCTGAGATGCCTGTAGGTGTCATGACGACTGTGCCCAGCTGCCTGTGGTCCCTGCTTGACGCCGTAGTAATTCTGGATCTCTGTGAGGACTCTCTTGCGGTACTCCCTGAGTGCCGGGGAGTCATGCGGGCTGCCGGCAGAGCGCACCTGGTCATGGCAAGATAACTCACCCATTGACCTCTCCGCGGAGCTGCGGGCGGAGTCACTACGCTTGAACCACCGCCCGCTGGAGGTGCCACCCAGGCTGGACTCAGACGGAGTGAAGGCACCCATCAGAGCTGCCTGCAGTGCCTGTGCCTCCGCCTGTACTACTTCCGTCTGGCGTAACATTGCGTGCAGTTCCTTGGTGTCCATAGCCGCCAGGGGCGTGAGAAGAGGCTGAGTGGAGACGGGTGGTGGGGGCGAGCTGAGGTCATCTTGCACGCTCACATCTTTCTCTGTGTCCTTGCTGGTGTCCTTGTGTCGGAGATGGCCGGGTGTGGTGGCAGACAACGGCACTCTTAAGGACGGTTCATGGACCAGTGAGAGCTCCGTCTCGCTGTCCTCACCTTCAGAAGCTCCGCCGCTCAGGTACTCCCCGTCTGTCATAACACAGGCATCGACGCGGGCAGGGGCGGGAGTGCGGGGCGCAGCCACCGCCATCTTGCGATGTTTTCCAGCCTGAGACTCTGATTCGAAATAATCCCAGTCGCTCTCGTCGATGAAGCCTGAGTTGTCCGAGTCATTGACGGCGCTCGCACTCGACACGTTCCTGGAGGGAGACCCTGAGTTGTCAGAATCTATTGAAGAGTTGAGCTCGGAGTCTTTGGAGGAATCAGAGCTAATAAACACCAGTTTGTAGTCATCGCTCTCCGGTATTATCTTCTCTGCGTCGAGGACGATGTCAGAGGCAGTGTCCGAGTGTCTGTGGGAGGAGTGGTCTGAGTGTTTGTGGGAGGAGTGGTCTGAGTGTTTGTGGGAGGAGTGGTTTGAGTGACGGCACGAGGAGTGATCATCAAGTTCTGTCTTGCCGACGCTGGCATCGCTAGTGTCGCTGGGGGAGCTGGTCGAGCTCTTTTCCTTGTGGTGGCGGCCGAGGCTCAGACTTCGGGCAGCGTTAGAGTCTTTAGAGAGACTAGGAGGCGCTCTTGGGTGTTCTCCCAGGGCTAGCGAGTGCTTCTTGGGCATCATGTTCTCCACCGTCATCTGGATGCCCCGCTCGAGCTCCTTGACGTAGCGGGCCACCTGCCCAGACAGGGACTCCCTGGAGAGGGACGCCGGGTACTCGTCGTCCATGCGCGGGGAACCCACCTGGAAGGAGCGACTTCGTCTCACTCCCGCCGGGTTGTGTGACGACTTCCGCGGACGACCCGTCGTCGCGAAGCCTTGAGGGAAGGAAAACAAACATGATAAAAGTTAATCATGCCACGGTGACACATGGCACTGTTGCAGTTAGTGCTTCCCTGACGTGCCAATGAGAGCCAGTGCCGCCTCAACTTCTCCTCAGCCTAGATTAAGTCGTCATGCAGTGGTTACAAAGGTTTAGTGACATTCAGGCGCCCGTGTGAAGTGTTAGTGATGATGGCACAAAGAAGTCAATATACGCGTTCCAGGTGTTAGTCATACACTTAGCAGCCGCCGTATATCATGCACTACATACAGTTTTGTCTTTTCATGCACTTAATGGCATCTTCACCATCCCCTGCTTGTTCACTTAATTAGCGGTGTCGTTATTTTTCCATTCACTTGGAAGTTCCGTCACTCGCACTGTGTTGGTCATGCACTGCCCAGGCTCCCACACCACCACCATCACCGTGTTGGTCATGCACTGCCCAGGCTCCCACACCACCACCATCACCGTGTTGGTCATGCACTGCCCAGGCTCCCACACCACCACCACCGTGTTGGTCATGCACTGCCCAGGCTCCCACACCACCACCACCGTGTTGGTCATGCACTGCCCAGGCTCCCACACCACCACCACCGTGTTGGTCATGCACTGCCCAGGCTCCCACACCACCACCACCGTGTTGGTCATGCACTGCCCAGGCTCCCACACCACCACCACCGTGTTGGTCATGCACTGCCCAAGCTCCCACACCACCACCACCGTGTTGGTCATGCACTGCCCAGGCTCCCACACCACCACCACCACCGTGTTGGTCATGCACTGCCCAGACTCCCACACCACCACCACCGTGTTGGTCATACACTGCCCAGGCTCCCACACCACCACCACCACCGTGTTGGTCATACACTGCCCAGGCTCCCACACCACCACCACCACCGTGTTGGTCATACACTGCCCAGGCTCCCACACCACCACCACCGTGTTGGTCATACACTGCCCAGGCTCCCACACCACCACCACCGTGTTGGTCATACACTGCCCAGGCTCCCACACCACCACCACTGTGTTGGTCATGCACTGCCCAGGCTCCCACACCACCACCACTGTGTTGGTCATGCACTGCCCAGGCTCTCACACCACCACCACCGTGTTGGTCATGCACTGCCCAGGCTCCCACACCATCACTCAGCTAGTTAGTCCACATGTTATCAATTATTTTGATAAAACTATAAGATCTACACATACAAGAGAGAGAGAGAGAGAGAGAGAGAGAGAGAGAGAGAGAGAGAGAGAGAGAGAGAGAGAGAGAGAGAGAGAGAGAGAGAGAGAGAGAGAGAGAGAGAGAGAGAGAGAGAGAGGGAGAAATATCTAAGCACTAGAAAAGGTGTGTGAGAAGTGCACTATAAGCACCAGAGGAGCAGACATGAATGGTGGTGGACACAAGAGAGGCACAAGACTGACCTGGTTCTGCACGCTAGTAACACCACGTGAACTTACCCAACTTACCCTAACATTTTGTGACTTTACACCAGCACTGCAGAAGAACTAGCAGGTTGGATGAACTAGCAGGATGGATGAACTAGCAGGTTGGATGAACTAGCAGGTTGGATGAACTAGCAGGATGGATGAACTAGCAGGTTGGATGAACTAGCAGGTTGGATGAACTACCAGGTTGGATGAACTAGCAGGTTGGATGAACTAGCAGGATGGATGAACTAGCAGGTTGGATGAACTAGCAGGTTGGATGAACTAGCAGGTTGGATGAACTAGCAGGATGGATGAACTAGCAGGTTGGATGAACTAGCAGGGTGAATGAACTAGCAGGTTGGATGAACTAGCAGGATGGATGAACTAGCAGGTTGGATGAACTAGCAGGATGGATGAACTAGCAGGTTGGATGAACTAGCAGGTTGGATGAACTAGCAGGATGGATGAACTAGCAGGTTGGATGAACTAACAGGATGGATGAACTAGCAGGATGGATGAACTAGCAGGTTGGATGAACTAGCAGGTTGGATGAACTAGCAGGTTGGATGAACTAGCAGGTTGGATGAACTAGCAGGATGGATGAACTAGCAGGTTGGATGAACTAGCAGGATGGATGAACTAGCAGAATGGTTGAACTAGCAAGATGGATTAACTAGCAAGATGGATGAACTAGCAGGATGGGTGAACTAGCAGGTTGGATGAACTAGCAGGTTGGATGAACTAGCAGGATGGATGAACTAGCAGAATGGTTGAACTAGCAAGATGGATTAACTAGCAAGATGGATGAACTAGCAGGATGGGTGAACTAGCAGGATGGATGAACTAACAGGATGGGTGAACTAGCAGGATGGACGAACTAGCAGGTTGGATGAACTAGCAGGTTGGATGAACTAGCAGGTTGGATGAACTAGCAGGATGGCTGAACTAGCAGGATGGTTGAACTAGCAAGATGGATTAACTAGCAAGATGGATGAACTAGCAGGATGGGTGAACTAGCAGGATGGATGAACTAGCAGGATGGGCGAACTAGCAGGATGGTTGAACTAGCAGGATGAATGAACTAGCAAGATGGATGAACTAGCAGGATGGCTGAACTAGCAGGATAGTTGAACTAGCAGGATGGATGAACTAGCAAGATGGATGAACTAGCAGGATGGCTGAACTAGCAGGATGGCTGAACTAGCAGGATGGATGAACTAGCAGGATGGATGAACTAGCAAGATGGATGAACTAGCAGGATGGGTGAACTAGTCTCAGTAGCAGAACCAGTTACCAGTAACCAGTGTACCAGTAGATGACTCACTACCAACCGTCTGTGTGAATCATTGACTGGTATACTGGTTACTGGTAACTGGTTCTACTACTGAGACTAGCAGGATGGATGAACTAGCAGGAGGGATGAACTAGCAAGATTGATGAACTAGCAGGTTGGCTGAACTAGCAGGATGGATGAATTAGCAGGATGGATGAACTAGCAGGATGGGTGAACTAGCAGGATGGTTGAACTAGCAAGATGGATGAACTAGCAGGATGGATGAACTAGCAGGATGGATGAACTAGCAAGATGGATGAACTAGCAAGATGGATGAACTAGCAGGATGGATGAACTAGCAGGATGGATGAACTAGCAGGATGGATGAACTAACAGGATGGATGAACTAGCAGGATGGGTGAACTAGCAGGATGGATGAACTAGCAGAAGGGATGAACTAGCAGGATGGATGAACTAGCAGGATGGGTGAACTAGCACGATGGCTGAACTAGCAGGATGGTTGAACCAGCAAGATGGATGAACTAGTAAGATGGGTGAACTAGCAGGAGGGATGAACTAGCAGGAGGGATGAACTAGCAGGAGGGATGAACTAGCAGGAGGGATGAACTAACAGGATGGGTGAACTAGCAGGAGGGATGAACTAGCAGGAGGGATGAACTAGCAGGAGGGATGAACTAGCAGGAGGGATGAACTAGCAGGAGGGATGAACTAGCAGGAGAGATGAACTAGCAGGAGGGATGAACTAGCAGGAGAGATGAACTAGCAGGAGGGATGAACTAGCAGGAGGGATGAACTAGCAGGATGAGATGAACTAGCAGGAGGGATGAACTAGCAGGAGAGATGAACTAGCAGGAGGGATGAACTAGCAGGAGAGATGAACTAGCAGGAGGGATGAACTAGCAGGAGGGATGAACTAGCAGGAGAGATGAACTAGCAGGAGGGATGAACTAGCAGGAGAGATGAACTAGCAGGAGGGATGAACTAACAGGAGAGATGAACTAGCAGGAGGGATGAACTAGCAGGAGAGATGAACTAGCAGGAGGGATGAACTAGCAGGAGGGATGAACTAGCAGGAGAGATGAACTAACAGGAGGGATGAACTAGCAGGAGAGATGAACTAGCAGGAGGGATGAACTAGCAGGAGAGATGAACTAGCAGGAGGGATGAACTAGCAGGAGAGATGAACTAGCAGGAGGGATGAACTAGCAGGAGGGATGAACTAGCAGGAGAGATGAACTAGCAGGAGGGATGAACTAGCAGGAGGGATGAACTAGCAGGAGAGATGAACTAGCAGGAGGGAGGAACTAGCAGGAGGGATGAACTAGCAGGAGAGATGAACTAGCAGGAGGGAGGAACTAGCAGGAGGGATGAACTAGCAGGAGGGATGAACTAGCAGGAGGGATGAACTAGCAGGAGGGATGAACTAGCAGGAGGGATGAACTAGCAGGAGGGATGAACTAGCAGGAGGGATGAACTAGCACGATGGCTGAACTAGCAGGATGGTTGAACCAGCAAGATGGATGAACTAGTAAGATGGATGAACTAGTAAGATGGATGAACTAGCAGTCACTAGATAGAGGAAGTCATCACACATAACAGTAAGAGAAAGTAATGCAATATATCACCACCTGCCAGGTGGTGATATATTGCCAGGTGGTGTATTTGTGACCCTTAACTCTCTCTCTCTCTCTATCTCTCTCTCTCTCTCTCTCTCTCTCTCTCTCTCTCTCTCTCTCTCTCTCTCTCTCTCTCTCTCTCTCTCTTAGTAATTATAACCCCTGCAACATCCACAGTAGCCACTGTAGATACAACTAAACCACAACCTCCACTGTACATACCACTCAACCACAACAACGACTGTAGGTACCACTCAACCACAACAACGACTGTAGGTACCACTCAACCACAACAACGACTGTAGGTACCACTCAACCACAACAACTACTGTAGGTACCACTCAACCACAACAACTACTGTAGGTACCACTCAACCACAACAACGACTGTAGGTACCACTCAACCACAACAACGACTGTAGGTACCACTCAACCACAACAACGACTGTAGGTACCACTCAACCACAACAACGACTGTAGGTACCACTCAACCACAACAACGACTGTAGGTACCACTCAACCACAACAACTACTGTAGGTACCACTCAACCACAACAACTACTGTAGGTACCACTCAACCACAACAACTACTGTAGGTACCACTCAACCACAACAACTACTGTAGGTACCACTCAACCACAACAACTACTGTAGGTACCACTCAACCA